TACCAATTTTTACAAATACAAATTGGTTGACTATAAAGCAAAAATAGTGTGTAGAATTAGCCGCCCCAGTTCTTGAGGAGCACCGTGTGTAAAGCATTTCATGATTCCATGAAGTGCATAAAGAGACCTGTGACCGAGACAGTGTAGGCATGTTTTATAAAGTTCTGTAACAATTCTGTTCATTATTACTTTTGAACTGATTTTGATTTGGTTGTGGCTGGCATGGGGATGCAGTGGCTAGCATTGCTGCCTCGCAGCACTGGAGCCCTGGGTTCAATTCCTATGGTGCTATCTGCGCTGCGTGGAATTTGTACTGTATGTCCTCCTTATGTCGTATGGGTCTCTAGATACTCCAGTTGCCTCCCACAGTCCAAAAACATTCTGGTTGGATAATGACTGAGTTATGAGAAGAAAAACACCCTGGTTTGAGCGAGTGTCTGTTTGTGGTCTGTGTGTGCTCTGCATGGATTGGTGTCCTGTCTGGCTTCTATCCTGCCTTTTGCCCGTTGCTTGCTGAAATAGCCTCCAGCTACCCTGCAACCCTGTATTGGAGAAAACAGTTTGAAAAAGGAATGGATGTTTGGCTCTGTTGGGGAACAGGAGAGAGTGAACAGTCTATATTTCTGGATCAAAAAAGGCTACCAGAGGGTTCTCCAGAGTGGCTCAATCAGTAATGGTACTCACTCTGAGCATGGTCATGGGTTCAAGTCTCCCCAGACTGCAGTGCACAATTTTCTGGTAGTAGAGTTAAATTTCTCAGGATCCTGGTGTCCTCCCTGGCGCTTGAAGGGCTACCATTTGTAGGTGAGGGATGCGCCTCTCCTTCAGTTGGTGCTGTACCTCTGGTATGGGGCTGTGCAGCCTGTGACCTGTTGAAAGATGAGTGGCTCTAAAGGAGGCCGAGTCAGAAGACTCAGTCATTACTTTTTAATTTTCCTCTGTCTGTAGTCATGGTGTTAGTTGTTAAGAAACAGATGTGAAAAAGTCAAACAAAAAAGAGAGAATTATAAATGTATTAATAGAGACTAGAGCAGCTTCATAAAAATCCAAATATTTCCAATTAACTAAAAATAAATAAATCTCAATTAATCAGATTCAGTTTTGGACACAACCATCTTTACTGCAACAAGAGACAAACACTCACCTGACTTGTTTGAATTAGGTATTTGATGGCTTCTTGAATATTGCCCATGATGGTAGTTTTGATTAGATTTATGTTTTCCAACTTTTCCAACTGGAAAATAAGTTAAAGTGTAGTTTCAGTAACTCCTGCTGTTCCCATGTAGAGGAGATGCATGCTGAGATCTGCTATGCTGAGTGCCTGTTACAGAAAGCAGCTCTCACCTTTGTACAGGTAAGCCTCTAGTACTTTCTCCAAACAACTTTGAATCCTTGTTTCATTATCATTGTTTGTTAATGAGGTTACACTATACTTCTGAATTTAAGTATTTGAAAAGGTAACTTCACATTCAAGCCCCTAAAGAACTAATAAAATCCCCTTTTACTTTTTTACAGATAAACTATTGTCCCCTAGAGGATTTTTTTATGGACACGCAGCACTACTGTACATCTAAATATATGATGAAATATTGCACATCGCATCTATTGCACATGAAGAACTCACTACAACATAGTAGTGACATATTGCACATTAGTAGTTTGTCACATTTATAATTAGTTTATACTGACACAGTTGCATTTACCCTTGTCATTTATTTGCATTTTTAATAGGTAACGTATACTGTAATAATAATAATTAATAATACTGCGCCGGAACGCTCTCCACACATCAGCTATTAGTGGGGAGGAGAGCAGAGTGATGAAGCCAATTCATACAGGGGGATTATTAGGAGGCCATGATTGGTAAGGGCCAATGGGAAATTTGGCCAGGATGCCGGGGTTACACCCTTACTCTTTTCGAGAAACGCCCTGGGATTTTAATGACTACAGAGTTAGGACCTCGGTTTTACGTCCCATCCGAAGGACGGCAACGGTTTACAGTATAGTGTCCCCATCACTGCTCAATTAGGACCCACATGGACCGCAGGGCGAGCACCCCCTGCTGGCCCCACTAACACCTCTTCCAGCAGCAAGCTTAGTTTTTCCCAGGAGGTCTCGCATTCAGGTACTGACCAGGCTCACACCTGCTTAGCTTCAGTGGGTTGCCAGTTGTGAGTTGCTGGGTGATATGGTGACTATATACTATCTATATTTGCTATTAAAGTATAAATATACAGTGTATATCTTAATAGCTAATATATTCTTTTGTTCTACATTTGGGAACTCTAAAATCTTTGCTAGAGTTGTCAACTTGCCAAGAAGTTCATATGGCAAGTTGCCAGCAGCCATATAATATGATTTATTATCTTAATTTGATTGATAAATTACCAAACCACTCTGTAATACCATATATAATAATGCTCTCTATTACAGTATGGTAAAAGATAAGCATTAGTTTTCTGTCCAACTCCAAACAGTTTCAACTTCGTACAAAATAAATTCTCAACCTGAGTAGTCCAGCTGAGTTTGCTATAATACAGTATATTAATTGACCTGGGAGATTATTTCCTTGAAAATCAGTTCAGGTGAAAAGTCACCAGAAACTTTGGGATCCAACAACTTTTCATGCCTTTTTTTTCCACATTCAAAATCGGGTTGTTTGATACACCATTGCACAAACCTACAGTATGACATAAATGTAAAGAAACTGCGTTCTTTATATGTTCGGTAAATCTCCACTGTATCATCTGAAAGTATAAAGTACAATTGCCTTTGACTGCTACTTGTACATTCATCTTTATGTGGTGTGGATAGAACTGTGGTAAACTTTTGTGGTAAACTGACATAACCTTGAGGGGCACGTGGGCTAATAAATCGTAATGCATAGAGAGTTTTATTGACTGACCTACTCTGTACTCTGTTTAAAATGAATGATGCCATCTTATAATAGGATTAACAGTCATCTGCTTCAGCTTGCTAATCAAAAGATGGGACGGCAGTGTCATAAAAATACAGAGCTTAAGTCAACGAACAGCAGTTGCTCATAGGCATGGGGTTCTCTAGGTGTTTGACAACAAGATTTACATTGCTGTTAATAGCCTCATCCATGTCCCATCTGTGTTTATACATGTAATGATATGGATCAAGTAGAGCGTTCGCTTCTGAGAAGAGCCTAGAGACTATAATTCATTCAAAGCATTTCAGACAGGTTCCTGCATCCTGCCAACCTCTCAGGATGTTTTTCTGCAGTGATGTGCAGTGGGTTTAGTGCATCAGCAAGTCTTGAAGATCCTGGGTAATCGTATGCAGGCTTTGCTTTGAGTCAAGGGATGGCTGGGTGGATAATTGAGGCTGTCCTCACAGTGCAGATAGTGTGATTGTGTGCCCCTCCTTGAGAAATCCCAGCTGCAGTCACCTAGTGACACAACCCAGGTTTAAACATGAGTGCAGCCTGCACTCAGAGTGAATGTAAACAACTTGTTTGCATAAGCCACTCACTGTTGGCATACAGAGGAAATGGACCCTAAACCTTCTGTTGGATTAGCACCTTCTGGGAGCAAGACATACTCCGTACAGAACCAACATTTCTACCCAACCCTTTAAAAAACTAAAAAAAAAATGGCAGCACTGTATTCCATACAGAGTTGTATCATGTATAGTTTTGTATTGTACAGGCATTCACGTTTCTCAAAAGCAGACAGTTTTGCATTGTAGCTTATTATTTAAGTTATTACTTTAAATACTTAGAACATTAATACTGAGTAATTTAAAACCAAAATTCAGACAGAATTTTGTCTTGAGATCTATCAAGGGCATTAACAAACCCAACTTCGTTGAACTTGGTTTAGACTGACAGAAGGTGACACAGATGAAATAAGATCTTTCTTGCAGTCTAGAAATGGAAAGTCAAATAGCATTTTAATTCTTTAGTTTAACAAATGCAATTCTGTTTTCTACATTAATTCCCTTCATTTTTTGGCAGGATGAAAACATGATCAACTTCATTAAAGGGGGCCTCAAAATCCGAACAAGTTACCAAATTTACAAGTGAGCGAAAATGTTGTGCATCTTGCTTTTATAAAACAGTTCCAAAATAGTTTTCTTATAGGTCTTAATGGTTTTCTTTTAACGTAGAGTGATACATGTATTAATGCCAGGGTGGACTAACGTACTCATTTTACAATTAAATGCAAAAGAGAATTCTTACAGCCATTTTTTTAAAGTCATGGTTATACTGGTGGAGTCAGTTATGTTACTTTGCCTTCCTCCCTAAGGAGACGTCTGCCCAAGTTCTGACTTTGGACCAAATAACCCCTCATTGTTTATTGAAGCATTGCAGTTACCCGTGTCATATACATGATCTTTTCTGCATCCTGTATGGTTTCGCCTAACTATGGCACTTACCTTTCCAAGATAAAAAGTAATCCATTAATACAGGAGTAGTTTTACATATGTTTTTAACAGAACTCCATTACAGCATTTAAACATGTTGTCTTTGGTTCTGATCTGTGATTGGTTTCTTCGGACGTACTGTTTAATGTTCCCTAAACAATTACTTTGTGTAACTTTGTAAATATGAACAGAGTTCCATTTAGCTGTACACGCACAACTTTCTGTAATGCCTATAGGAATTTGCAGTTTGATATAAGATAATGATTAGTAAATGTTGCTCAGTGAATAATAGTGGTGTATTTGTTTAAATTTTGGATTCAAATAATTTCTGTGTTGCTGTGAAACCAATTTTTTTGTCACAAATGTTCCTCCAGAGGTCCTGTTATATACTAATTGTAGCACCTGCTGCACAAATGAAATGTTCTTGCATTTCTTTCATTGCTGTCAGAATTGCATAAACAGTGAAAAAATGGAATGGAAAGTAAATATTTTTGCATATAGCCTGCTTAATGCTCTTTTGCCTCTTCTCTGCCAGAGAATGCCAGCAGCTGCTAAATATGACTCAGGATCTGGATAGCAAAAATGAAACCTACAGCCAGTTTGAAGGGGGTGTCAAGCTGGGGATCGGAGCGTTCAATCTGGTACGTCTGGCATCACCTCGGAGTATTTACACTACTCATTCTCAGTTTGGACTAATGAACCCCATGTTTCCAGAGGGAGATCTGTGACTTGTCAGCTTTTTAGGATTATTTGAAAACTGTTGAGTTGCATTTTATTTCTCTGGCTTAGTATGGAAGCACTTTACTAAATGTAAATAGAATGTGGCTTTTAAGTGCTATGGATTAAAAGAGTTTTCACTTTCATGTATCATTTTAAAATTAAAATTGCCACTCATGCTTTCTTATTGTTATTGTCTCAGCCTGTTTGGAATGACCATGTGTTTCTTTTCCTTTCGACTCACATTGATGGTTCGACTAACACATGGTTAGAATAAGGATGTGTAAACAGGCTCTCACCCGCCTGTCATGTTACCGTATTTATTTTTTGAGGCTCTTCAATGGCCTTCAAGATTGCTAGCACTAATGGATGGAGAGGCATAACCCTCACTGAGGTCAGAGCAGAGCAAACCTGCAGGTGTCTTGAAAGCAGGACTGTCCTGCCAGGACCTGAAAGAGTCTTGTTATACTAATCCCAACCCTGTTCCTGACAGAGCTGAGCCAATTGTGTGACTGCTTGAGGAATTCCCATCAGCTGGCCAGTGACATGACTCTTACTTGGAACTTGGCGAATTCATAAAGTTCAAGTTCTGCTCAGAGCCAGCGAAGTGGCTGAGCCACTAGGGAGCCCTTATAATAAGTAATACTAAAATTGTTATTTTATCTTTCTGTAGCATTTGGCTTGACTTTCACCTGTAGTTTGCTATTTACCTTGCAAACCCTGAGGAAATCCAGCTGCATTTACAGATCTAAGGACAATTTAAGAATTCTGCCAGTTTAGTGTGGATTGTGCTGTTTGACTTCCCTTAACAAGCCATTACCTTTGACAGCCAAGTAACTCTTGGACTAAAGTTAACAGTTGTGTTATAATGGATTCTGCTCATGTGGACTCCTATATCATGAAACGTTTTTTTTTAATTGCGAATTATTTTTGTTATACACGTTATTTGGAACAGTCAGTTATGTGCTTTTTTCAACTTGCAACTTATAGCTAAGAAACTTTACAACCGCATGTGGGGGAGATCCAAAAAGGGCAAGCCCCCTATTCTGACTACATACCTTTGAGTCATTCATCTTGTTGTAATACTGTACATCATAAGTTATGCAGCCCCAAACTTGCACTGGAGTTTCAGCGCCTTATGGTGGCGACAGCACTACAAGCACTTAGAAGGCTAATTGAGTCCTGGTTAGCAGTGCAGGGTCAATATTGCAGTCACAGTCTGCTACTGACATGACCCAGGCTAGCTTGGGCTTAGTGTCCACTTGTTGAGCTACTTGGCAAGCCCCAGAAATAGTGTTTAAAGGATTTATGTTCCCCCCAGGAAACCTTGTGGAATTCAAGCAAATTAGTAAGATTTTAGTAAAATTAGTAAAATGTTTTCAGAAGGATAAAATTAACCTTTTATCAACTGAATTTTATTCAAGTTCAAGTTGTAATAAAATAGGTAAACAGATTTTGTACCTATGAAATGCTTTTAATCAATGGCACTCTTCTATGATAAAAGATAAGCTAAACTGGAATTGGTCATTTTAGTGGATGGTGTTTATTATACCCCAGCTCACCCCAAACTGTATTGGAGTTGAACCTGTGATCCATATCTCTGGTGATTTTATTATTTTTCCGTTCATCTTTCAGATGCTCTCTCTCCTCCCGGGTAGGATCCTCAGACTGCTAGAATTCATTGGCTTTTCAGGCAACAGGGTGAGACTGTACACATTTATTATCCTTGGGATGAATGCGTAGGCCTAACTCCAGCCTAAATCCCTAATTATGACCAATTATGCCACCTGTTTCTCAACAGCCTAATCCTTCGCTATCTCAGTACAGACTTCAGGGCCAAACTTCATTTGGGAATTCTGGTAGAGAGAACAGTGCTGCCCACTGATCCCCAATACTTCTTACAGCAGAAACCTGGTTTTTCTTTGGATGTCTGAAATCCTAGTAGTGACGTAGCCTTGCTTAGCTTTAGAGATGTGTTAAGACCAGGCTTGAAGCCAGCTATCATATTCTTTGAGTTCTGACAACATGAGCAGGCAGTATGTGGACCAGCTTTAGGGACAACCTTTACTGAGGTAACAGCTGAGGGAACTCTGCTGTTGTATTTGCTCTTCCAGGAGTTTGGGCTGTCCCAGTTACGAGAGGGAGCTGCCACCCACAGCCTGCGAGCCGTTCTCTGTGTGTTGACTTTGCTGATGTATCATACTTATGTCTCCCTAATCCTCGGTAAGAAATGCACTGGTTGAAAATTGCCATCAATAGTTATTGGATGGAATTGGTGATCATCAGATTAGCTAGCACTGTTTAATGTTTGATGATCTGACATGGTATCCTTCTTTAATATACAGTATTTTGTATTGGGAACTGGGAAACATCAACTCCAAAATGCTCAGATCTGATAAATCTAGCCACTTTACGCAGATAGTCTCCAGGACATTGCATTGTGAATATGGAAAACAAGTATCCTTAATTTGTCCTTTGTGTGCTTTAAAGCAGGTTGGGCCAGCTCTGTTTCTGGAATTAATACCTACGGTATTGGTTTTTCTAGATCTCAAACCAGCAGCAACTGAAGAGCTAGGAGTTGTTCTTAAATTGGTCCAGTTGTGCCAATAATGATTTGATTTAGGTCATTGAGAGCTTCACATTTTAAAATGCTACCAATTATAAACCAACCAATTTTCAGTACAGCAAAACAATTTCAGTATGTGATGTTTTCCCTTTAAAACCAAGAGAACTGGTTGCAAATTAATATTAATCTTTCCACTATATTGCAATCCTGTAGGTACTGGTGAAGGCAATCTGGTTGAAGCAGAGGCCCTGTTGGAGCCCTACCTCGACAAATTTCCCAATGTAAGTACAGTATCTACAGTAAGATCTCAGCAGTTATTTCTGCCTTCTGTATTTGACAGTCTCTTCTGACTTTTGCTGGGTTCTTTTTCTTTTTTCTTTTCCCTACACAGGGGTCAATTATTTTGTTTTATGCAGCCAGGATTGCCGTACTGAAAGGAAACTTTGAGAGGGTGAGTTTGAGATACAAATCTCGCTAGAAAAAAAAATTGTGATGTTTTTTTTTATCTTTCAAGGTTAATTTTTAGGCATATTTAATCTGTAACCTGTTCTTTTCAACATTATATATAATGAGAAATCTTCCCATTGAAATTTTGTATGATATTTATGCATTTTTTGGGGCATTTATAACACGTACTATTTCTGGCCCCATGTATGTAGTTAAGTATTAAGAAACACTTTCACTATTAAATGGGTTTGTGACAAATGTAACCACAAAAATCCATGAAAAAGAAGGACCAGAAGGATAAGCCATGAAGCCAAGACTAGAAACAAATCAAAAACGAATAATCTGTAAATATCTTCATAGCAAAGGTTGTAAATCTCTTAATTTATCCTGTCTTGCCATTCCATATGGTTTCTATCAGGTGAGCCATTAAAAGAAAGCTAATTATTTTTACTTTATAAGGACTCTATGCAACTATAGAGAAGAGTACTTGCATTAAACCTGTCCAATTCCAGTGGGGTTTTTTTGTCCAACTTGCATTTTGCCCTGTAGTTTAAGTTGTCTGAGTGATACCTCACTTGTTTATTTTATCTTCAGAGTCATGATCTATCAGAGTGCAGAGGCTGCCTCGCACCACTATAGGGTAGTGCACTTCAGTTGTGAATATGGCGAAACCATTGCTGAGGGTTTATGATGGTGGATTTGTGTGTTCCCTTTCCCTCTGTGAAGGCTGAAGTGAAGTTCCAGGAATGCATTGCCTCTCAGCAAGAGTGGAAACAGATCCATCACCTGTGCTACTGGGAGCTCATGTGGTCCCACTCTTTTCAACGGCAGTGGCTGGAGGCCTACCGCTACGCAGACCTGCTCTGTAAGGAGAGCAAGTGGTCCAAGGTAGAACACTGAACACTGAACACTGAACACTGAACACTGAACACTGAACACTGAACACTGAACACTGAACACTGAACACTGAACACTGAACACTGAACACTGAACACTGAACACTGAACACTGAACACTGAACACTGAACACTCTGAATTTTTCATACCTATTTGGCTCTGCAGCACAGTAAGCTTCCCATTTTCCAAATATAATTGTAGTGTAGGAAAGCAGTACACAAAGTACTGAAGATGGTAACAAAAGGAAGAAACCTTTAAATTAAGGATGTTATGTGTATCAGTTTCCAAAAGCTAAAAACTGTATGTGCATTTGTGTCATCAATTCAGGGAGCATTGTTGAGATCAGAAGGTAAAAATGAAGGAATAGTTTTCCTTTTGTCTTGATTTTCTTAGTCATCTTTTCTTTTTCACACTTTGAGAGTCCTTGACGAAAGTTAGTTTCATCACTTCAGTTTTTTTGCAGTGTGAAAACCGTTTTTTTTATTTCTCACCCAACAGGCTATCTACATGTTTCAGAAAGCAGCCATCCTCAGCATGCTCCCAGATGATGAAGTCAAAAAGACAGGGGAGAATATTGTTGAGTTGTTCAGGTCAGAAAACACCTTTTCAGATCTGATCTATTGATGTCACTATAAAATGTGGTCTGCACTTCTGTGCTGTTCATGACTGCGTAAGACCAGGCAGCTTACTCTTAAAACATATTCATAAAAAGAGATAATGGTACCTGTTTGCTGGTGCTACTCTTCTGCTTTACAGAGTAATTGACACTTTTAAGAGTTACATTATTGTTGGGCTGGTTTACCAAAGAATGAACCGTGAGTGAAGAACTGTAGATCTTAAAATTATACAAAAGCGATGACTAAAAAGAGAGTGCTCAGTTTTTATAATTAGCCATTTCTGCAAAGCTATCATTACCTGCTGTTTTGAACATTAATTTATGAGAGTCACAAATGTACCTTCATCATACCACCTGTACATTTTACTTGGAAAGTCTCTCAGAATGTGCTTGGGGCAGTAGTAAGACCTTGTGGCTTTAGAAATATCTTTAATTTACCTTGCTTCTGATGTAATGTCTTCAATTAACCTTGCTTCTTCTCATGTACAATTGCACTTCAAAATATCCAATCGCAAAAAAAGGATGTGTGCAAACGTAAAGAAGCTGAAATGTATGTAGTTTTCAGAGGAGGTGGGTGTTCCGTGGGCTTCTTTCTGTGGACCATGTCAGTTTTTATGGGAGAACAAAGTTAAAGATTTCAGGTCCCACATTGCTCCTTGACAAGAACGTGGGCTTTTGTCTTTACTGAAATGAGTAACTGATCCATTTGTTTTCTGGTTGCAGACAAGTGGAAGGGCTGAAGCAGAGGATTGCAGGTAAATCCATCCCCACTGAGAAGTTTGCAGTGAGGAAGGCCAGACGCTATTTGCCCTCCAATCCAGTGAAGCTAGTTGTACCTGCACTGGTAAGGTTCTTGGTGCAGCTGTTCAAGTTGGGTGTTGGGATGTACTGAACCATAAAGTGTTTTATAAATGCCAATGTGAGGGTAGCTACCATATATAGTGTGGTTACTATTTATAGACTATGCAAGCAAGGGGTTATTTAGGAAAAGTTAAAGCTACAGCTGACCATGGAGTGTGTGTTTATACCCATTGTATTTTGAAGCGCTGAGACCTAAAACTTTAAATTTAATGTTATTTAGGTTCCTCATAAGACACCTAAATGGGTCAGGGATTGCTGGTAAATAGTTTACATTGTGCCTAACTACAATTACTTTTGGCTAAAGGTTAAGTATGCCATCATATATTCGATATTTTATGTTTTGATTTCACTATGTGTTTTCTGCCTTGTCATTCTGTAGGCAATTTGGAATTGTGTGATATCATATGAATATTCAAAAACTACAACACTCCAAGCACATTTAGGAGTTACACATAAAAGGCAAAAGTGAAAAACAGATGGAAAAAGGGTTCAGTATATTAGTGCTTCATTAGTCAATCAGTGTTACATTTACTGTATGAGGCACTCAAAACGTTTAGCACAACAACAGAAATCTCTCCTCCACTAAATGTGAAGACTGTGCAGCGAGATTAGAGTCTTCAAAGCAGACTGAGATGATAAGCACATAAGAAAGCTTGTAAATGAGAATGAGAAAAAATGAGAAAACATTTGTTAGATTGGTTAATTCATTCTGCCAATTTAACATTTGTCATTAACTGGGTTGATCAACAGGTGGCTTGCTATGAATGTCAGAAGTTGGCCACACTGGACCAATACAAGTTATACATCTGTGACGTGTGCTTTGCACCAGGTTGCACACGCTGCCTTATAGGATTCTGTCCTATTCCTCTCCTAGAGCCTGATATACTTAATAAATCTGGATACTTTGCTTTTCTACTGATGCTTAATATACTCTATAATGTTGATTATGCTGTGATACAAAAAGTACATTTTTCAATGACCATTATGTGTCACAAGCTTACCATCCCAGATCTGTAAACCTCACATGAGCTTAAACTGTTGGTTAACCCCACAGCACCCTTATAATAAAATAAAGGGGAAAAAATGAAATTCAGATGGAAAACTTAATCTCAGTTTCTGCCTTCAGCTGTAGATTGTTAAGCTGCTTCCAGCGTCAACTTCATATTTTTTTGGCATATTTGTCTGTTTTGCTTTACCTTTCTCTGTCAGCTCTTTGGCTGATCCTGTTATCTCTCTGTCTGGGCTTCCTCACTGAGCCCTGGTGTGTGATGTCTCTCACCCTGCTTCTGACTATCTAACAACACCTGTGCACCTGCTAACAGGGAGCATAGGATTAAACGGAAAAGACCAACAGCTGCTTCCTTTTAGATGGCATCTAGGCCACACTTCCTGTCACACTTACTGTATGGTTTTCAGTTTTTCTGAACATGTTTTTTAGGTTTTACTCTTGATATGCTCGATTGAGAGAGAGATGGTTTTGTGATATGTTTCTTATGAGAACACAAGTAGTGAACACAAGCATTGAACAGTTTACTTTTTATCCTCTCTTTAGGAAATGATGTATGTTTGGAATGGCTTCACTATTGTTGGAAAGAGAGCTGACCTAACTGAGGGTTTGCTCATCACAATTGAAAAGGCTGAGGAGCAGCTAAGATGCGACCCGAGTAAGTACAAGAGAAACAGTAGTGATGACAAACTTGTCCCCTGTAGTGGACAATATATAATTCTATATATGTATATAGAATGTTGTCATTCTTTATGTAATAGAATACTGTATATAGCGTACACACTAAAGGATTCCAAAGTGTCGTATAATACTATAGGTAACAGTCTTTTTCTTTACACAGGAAAGCATTTTGCATTTGGCAGCCTTAACTGCTGTGCACTGAGCTGCTGATACATATTAAAAGCTGTACACTGTTACAGAGGACTCTGCCTTACCAATAGGAGACTCAGTTTACCTTAAAGGGTACTTTGGAGTTCCATAGGATGAAAAGCACTATATACAATTAGATCCAAAATTAATTAATATGCTTGATACAATGCAGCTTAAGTTGGTTTTAGAAAAATAAGTTTATGTGTGGTGTTTGTTGCCTAAAGTAAATAAAACATGAAGAACTGAAAGACAAGAAGTACTAGACTCCACAAAAACAGGTCAGTCCAAAATAATTACAGGTTTCCCTAAACATACTGTAACATTCAGAATTATTCACATCTACAGGTACCACTCACAAAACAAATGTAGGCCTGAGCAGAAGAAGCTTTTGTAGAGAGTTTAGAGACTGAAATGTATCATGCAGGATACTGCAAATCTAATTCCTGAGAAGCACTTCTCAGTATTTATAGTTTAACTTTGTATTTAATAATGCACAAATTGACATAAGATAAGATCACTTTATTAGCCATATACAATTTCTTGCATTAGGAATTTGTCTTTTCGCATACCCCAGCTTGCTCTCCATGAGGCACCAAGATAAGGAGAAAGAAGCTTGGGGTCAGAGCACAGGGTCAGCTATTTACAAAATATAAATGGAGAAGTTGGGGTTAAGGGCCTTGCTCAGGGGCCCAACAGAGAAGGATTCCTCAGCCGGCCGTGGGATTTGAATCGGCAACCTTCCAGTCACAGGCGCAGATCCTTAGCTACAGTGCCACCACACCGCCACTTACTTAATGCAATAGAAATGCAATAGAAAATTCATCTAAAATTTAAGTACTGACTTTTTTATTAGATGGTTATGTGAGAATATAAAATGATAATCACAGTGCAGGCATTTATTGGAGAAACAATGGATTTTACCCTTTAGATTTACCATTACCTTTTTTTCCCCCAGTGTGCAATCCTTGAGAAGATAACCTTTCACAATTATTTTTTTACTTTTGTTAACTACGGGGAGTGACACCAAATACTTTTTGTCGTTCACTGACAGATCCCACAGAGTACCACCCGGATGACCAGTGCCTTGTACAGATGTTGAAGGGCCTCTGTCTGAAACATCTGGGTCGTCTTATGCAATCAGAACTGTGTTTCACACAGGTCGTTGCGAGGTAATTCTCTGCACTCTTGCTAAACTAATGGCCTCTTCGCTTCACTGGAAAACGCATTTCTTCTATTTGTTTTTCTATAATTTTGTGACAAGTGCCATTTTTAAGGTATTTACAGAATGCGAGGTTTTTGCTCTGAGTAAAACTGAATCAGTTTCGGATATTTGAAAGTAAATGTTTCATTTTCCAAAGTTAAACAAAAGGCCATACAGTTCATCTGGGAAGGGAGAAACATTATTTTTAGTTATGGTAAAAAGTGGAGCACATTTATACTGGAGTAAAAACCTTGAAAGTTTTTATAAAAGACAATATAATTACGTTTTCCAGAAGCACACGGATATCATAGAAACAATTATTTAACAAAGAAATATCTCAAAAAGTATAAAAGTGTAGCTGTATAAAAGTCTTTGGATGAATACATTTCTATCAGTAGTTATTGAAGTATGAATTGCAGGCAGACTGCTCCATCCATGTCATGCCTTCTGATATATTTTTCTTATATTCCGATATTTTTATCCTTATCTTTCTCTGTTTGTCTTATATGTTACAGTCCAAAACTCTTGTATTCTTGGCCCAATTGCCATTATAAATGAGAAATTTGTTCTGAGCTTACTTGTATGGTTAAATTATTTATAGATAATACTGTAGATTGGAATATAAACTTGTTGTGCATTTATACAATGTTAAGAAAGACAGGATCTATGAATTATCTGTTGAAGGTTTCTTGAGCAATTCTGTAAAATGGAATCCATTTGGAGAACCTTGAACACCAATTCTCCCACAATAACCCTTATATTAATTGCCGTGTTTCCTCTACTAATTCTTTTCATGCAGTGAAAAGATGATCCGCTATGACCATTACTTGGTGCCATTCAGCCTTTATGAGCTGGGCCTGCTATATAAACAGCAAGGAGACTTTCAGAAGGCAATCAGATTCATAGAAAATGCAAAGTAAGCACATTCTCGCCTTATGTGTCTTTTAATTATTTAGTTTACCCTGAGAAAGCTACAAGAGACCTTGATTTATGAAACTTCACTCATTGTTTCTGAATAGATTTTGCTATGCTTTCAGAGCATATTTTATTCATCTTGACTTTTCTTAGTGAGCTTTTTAATATTTTTTTAGAAGATTGTTATTCTTTTCCAATAATGACATTGTTTTTCTGTGCTTACTGAAGGAGAAATGAATACTTTTAGAAAACACTAATACGGTTAAATCACAAAGTGCTTTATTTTTGGATATCCCTTATGACCCATACAGATCACCTCATCTTGGATATTTAATTGCTGTTAGATTTGTTAAGCCCACACTTCAGGTCTTTGCTGTTAACACAATAGTTCACAAAGAGCAGATTATAGTTCAGTGTTCGCATGCCATATTCATTTAAATTGGGGTGAAAGAACATGGTAGGCGGGATGATGGTGCAGTGGGTAGCACTTCCTTAGAGCGGTGAGGCCCCGGGTTCAATTCAGGGGGTCCTGTCTGTGTGGAGTTTGCATGTTATCTCCAGGTTTGCGTGGGTTTTCTTCGGGTGTTCTGTTTTCCTCCCACAGCCCAAAGACATGCTGGTGGATTTAATTAGCTGCTGGGAAAATTGGCCCTTGTGTGAGTGTACGTGTCTGGCATGTTGTGGGTGCTATGTATCTTGCTCCCATTGCTTGCCAGACGTCTCTATCTCGCCCATGACACTGGACAGGATAAAGCAGTTAGAAATGGATATACTGCATAGATAGTTTATCATTTTGTCAGGACCTTGTAGGCATGAACATAATCTGTGGTGCCCTGCTTTGGGTGTTAGAATGTCAGGACATACGTGGTTATTAAAGAGCCCTGTTAGATGGAATTACTGTATATGGTTCTCTTCTCTACAGAGCAGGTATTTTAAAATTTCCATTTCGCTTTTCTTACAGACTGAACTACAAGGACTATTCAATGGAATCCAGGCTGCATTTCCGTATCCATGCTGCTCTTAACAGTCTCAAGAGCTCTCCAGCCACCACACCTTAAGACAGTATCCTGGCTGCCTGTCAGACAAATGTGTCCAATACAAGAGTTTTACCCCAGGGCATGATTTACTTACAAATTTCTGTTACAAACTGTAAAAAAAAGGCAAATGTCCAACAGAAACATTTTTTATTGTGAATTTAGTATTTTCTTCAAAATCACAAACTGGTGTAAAAGTCTTTCTTCAGATTCTACACAAGTCACAGAGTCCTCCCCAAGCCTTTAATTTATATAGACTAGCAGTTGAAAAAGTCTCATTTAACATGTGGCAACTACAAGATTCTAAGGCTTAGATAACCCAGCAACATGTGGGCTCACTTATCTCCTCAGTTGAACCAAAAACCATCAAACAACACTAATCACTTTTCATTTTAGAGAATACTTGGGAACTAACTTAATCCTTAATTTTAAACAGGGTTTTTATAGAATACTACAAGAGAAGTTGAATGGAAAACCTTTGAGAGAGAGAGAGAGACTGACTACAGTTTTTGTTATTCACATTTTATAGGCAATCGGTTGTGAAAGGAACCAATGCTGTAGAAGCAGAAGGTTTTCAATATATTTGGAATAATTCACATTTAAAAATGGTATGTGACCCAAATATTTTGCCTTTAATAGATCAGTCCCAAAAATGTACCATACTGACATATACTCTATAACAATTCAGAGTTTATAACATTTCACTGATGTCTGGTTTGATGTAAAGACCCAAGAGGAAATGGCGATGCTAGGAAATGGAGTACCTTTTGTACTCTAGTGTTCCAGTTTGTGTTGTCTTTGGTTTCCAAAGACATAGTGCTTTTAAAACGCTTTCTCCTTTCTCTTCATTGTAGGAAAAGGTATATGCCAACTTAAAAGCCAAGGTTAAGTTGGCTTTTAAAGTATACAAAATGTCATTAAGTGTTTGAAAAGTAGATGCAGAGCTGTTGCAGGGCCAGATTGATTTAGAATATTGCAATAAAAAGAAAAATAACAATTTCCTTCAAACGGAAAACCAAAGACAAGTCTAATTGGTTGTATTTTGAACACTATCCTTCTATAAGGAGGTTTAAAAACACTTAAATAACCTAACCTAAAAAATGTAAGGCTGTGGCTGCTGGGGAATACAGTGCAATAAATGTATTTTGCACTTTCACTTATTTTATTTCACCTTTATATTCTTGATGTGTAGTAGAGTTGCACAGGTTCATCTCTTGTCACTTCATTGTGGAAATTTCTTGTAGTCCTTGAATGCAGTTGAGTAAACCTCTTGTTTGTGGTTTCCTAGGAGACCTCTTATTAGCAATATTGTTGAGAGTGGCTATGAATTTGGAGACTTGAGAATCTTTAGAGAGTTGAATGTTCACTTTGATCTGTAAAGAAGATATTTCTAGGTACCTGCCTTCTTCATTAAATCGTGGAGTGTTACATTCAGAGCTCATTAACTGTTGGGCAGGGGTAAGACTAGTAACACATGTAAAAGAAGAATATAGTTATTTTTTTTCCCAGAACAGTTGCCACCATGATAACAGTGGTATTTGTCAGTTGCTGTTGATTCCTCTAGATGTCAGCCTAGATGAATGTATCTTCCTATTTTTGAACTTGACCAAATAAGTGAGTGTTTGTACAGTATATGTGTGTATGTTTCTTGTGATGTACTAAGAGCTACTTACCATGCTTCTTGTATTTAGGACGTATTTTATATGTTGGAATAATTCAAGGTGCAATAATTCCTAAACTGTATGTGTTTGTCATACAATTTAATGAATTTCTTTGTTCTCCCAGAGTGTAGGCTACACTGTATTGCATTACAGTGCCTTTTACACATTTCACAGCAAAACTGTTGTGGAGTGTCTGTTTCTAGTTAAGCTCAATTAGCGACTTATTTTAAAGATAATCTAGTAATGACTGCAAAAGTCATCGGTGTAACTTGGCCATTAAATGTCCATAAAACAATTAAAGCTTATTTGGTCTCAAATCTAATCAATAAATAATCCTTTAATCATTTGGGCCATGTTGCCTTCTACATTGCCTCACATCGAAGGGCTTTCTTTGTGTTAGAGGTATTCCTTAATGCTTTGCAGTAAGTGTTGCAAAGACATTTTATTTCAGCCTTTCTTCTGATGCAGAAGTTCACTAAATAATTAAGAAACATACAGATTACTAGAAAAGCTACAGTGTTCTTGAAATAACACAAGTGCTTAAATAAGTGTTATATTTAATCAGCAATTGTAGTATTTTGTTGTATTATAACACATTTATATTGTGTTAAATACTTCAGTTAATGAACGGTAGACTCAAGTACAAACAGTTGTTAAGAGGAAAACGTGAAATGCTATTAATGTCATGCAGACTTTGGAGCGCATTAGAATGTACCAAGATTTTAGACAGGAATAGTTTGATTTTCTGCTTTCTTTTCGGAATACGGGATGCTTATGTACAACAAGATGCCTCCTTTGGTGTTCGTGGTTAACTTAGTATTTTACAGTAGATTATGTGCTGTGTAGGTGCAGCTTGATCCTGTAACACTTTAAGGGGAAAAAAAAACTATGATGTCAGTCACATTGACCATCTGTGAAAAGTAGTTCTTTTTTATTTTCAGGTGGGAAGTATCCCTGTTTTGGTTCAGAATTCACACAAAGACGGTTAAAAGCCATTGTGCATCTCCATTAACCGTCATTGGTTTGTGGTTGAGAATTTCAGTTGAATTCCACATTGCTATGCAATAGCTGTGAAGGGAGGAGAAATGCCTTTTAGATGTTTAAATAGATTGATGGCATGACTCTTCTGCCAAAGCAGGTTCTCCTTATTAGTTATGCAGCACTGCTATCTTCCAGTGTTGTAGATTTTGACAATTTTGCTCAAACATACAGTAGGTACCATGAAAATTGTCCCTGAATAAGCAAGATGTACGGGTAAATGAAACATGTTTTATTGTGATAACAGAGGCAAAGTTGGTGATGCGCATTCTCATAAACTCAATTATGGACCCAAGCATCTTCTATGAGGTAGAACTACATATTTCTTGCAATTTGTTTGGTGGTGGTGGGTTCTTAAACTCATTACTAAAGTCTTAATGTTACCCTGTTAGTATTAAAAAGATATCAACTGTCACTACTAACATTTTCTAATGCAGGTGATGGAACACTATTGACATTTTTTAGCTTACAGCTGTGTACTTTCAGCCCTGTGTTTTTTTTTTTATTTCCTTTGTAAAGCTTTTTCCCCCCAATTTCTTAAGATACCTTTATTAATCCTTTTTTTCCTGGAGCTAATATTTCAGTTTTGTTGGTATTTTAAAAAAGTTATAAAGATAGCAAATGATAAAATAACCAGACATGAAACACAAGTGGCTGGAGGTGCAGCACAAAATACAAGGTCAATAGAAAATGGAGCAGACACAAACACCAAATAAAAGACTTTCTGAAAAGAGGTTTTGAGACTAGATTTAACAGCACTCATGGTAGTTGGCTCTCTGATATCCATGCAGATAGAAGTCCAGAGCTTTTGGGCATGGCAAAAGAAGGCCCTGTCACCTAGAATGTAATTGATCCTGGGAGACATACTGTATAGAAGACCAGAGTAAGAAAAACAGGTTGTGAGTTGGGTAGTAGACTGTGCAAAGGCACGAGGATTTTGAAGACAGGGCTGTTGACTTCTGGCTGCGAAATTTTGAACACATTGGAGTTTTTTCAATGTGCATTTAGATACATCAGCAAGTAGGGCATTGCCATAATTAATTTTAGAAAAGACACACACATGTGTTGAGCAGCTTTTCTGCTACAGTCAAAGACAACATAGGAAATTGTCTGGAGATATTTCTGAGATGATAGAATGATGTTTTTTACAAGTCAAGCCAGGATCAAAAATAAACCTCAAATTCTACGGTTGTAAATAAGATTCAAGCACAGTGCCATCCACAGATAGGGTTACCTCATGGGCTTCACGTAAGGGATGGGAGGTGCAGAGTAGCGTGACCTCGTGTCACAGTTTAAGTGAAGGAAAGTTTGAAACAGCCAGCTTTGATGCAAACATCTCATATAACTGCTAAGTGCCCCAAGCATCTTATCCAGCTACTTCTTGAAAGAAGCTGAGATATTGGCTTCAGCAAATATTTTCATGTTCCATGTGGCTAATATTTGTGTGTGGATGTTAGAAAAACTAGAGGTATAGCTTTCAAAATCTGAAAAAGTATTTCTTTGCTTTAGAGCTGAGGGAAAAAAAAACCTAATTCAAAAGCATAATCTAAAATACCTTCCTTTGAACGTGGCTTGTTTGTATGTCTGTTTTATTGCATATTTAGTTTATCTTTATTAAAAAGTGGTGCAGGATCAGGGTTGCAGCTAGGTTTGGTACTTTTATAGTAGAAGCTTCCCTAAGAAGTACTAGTATTATGGTAGTTCTAACTCATTATTTTGCTTTATAAACAATCACATTATAAACCAAAAGAGATGTATTTCTTTGCCTGCTGATTTGTGGAATAGAGCGTAATATAATAGTTGGTGTCAAGAGTTATACAAAAGGTTTTTCAAAATCATGTCTGAGTACTAAAGCATGCATCATCTTCAATGAGAGAATTGAACACTTTTTTTTTGGACTGCTGGTCAGGCCTCTGCAAAGATGGTTTTCTTCTTAATCTTTCTGATACATTTGCTTTTTCTCTCCAACAGGAGTCACTGTGAAGCACAACTCACAGTCTTCAGCATTTTGTCATGTTATATTGTATTTCAGACTGCAAAGCCACAATTAACATTAATAATTTATGCTTTTAACTTCTCCATTGTGTAAGACCTTTGATATTTTCTTTTATAATTTTATCTGAAAATGGTTATAAAGAAATTGTAAGTCATAAATGTTACAATTTTAACTTAGTCAAGAACAGAAGCCTATTTTCCCCTTTATTTTGTTGCTTTTTCTACAAGCAGTGTACTGCTGCTTTCACTTAAGTTACCTAAGAGTGCCTGCTGTGTGTACGTTCACATTTTGAAATGTAAATATCTTTTCAAGTGACTGTATCTTTTGTCTGCTGTGCAGCGAGATCACTCAGCAGAGTGCTGTAGAAATGCAACATCATATTCCTAAACAAATAAAGCCATGAATTTGAACAGTGAATATGTTTCTCTATTTTATGCTGTTTATGTTCCTCTTTTGTCTGGATATGTTTTTCTCCACCTCTTACTGAACATTTGTTTCAACTCAAGTTCTTAATGAAGTATAAAGACTCTGCTCCATTATAAACAACTTGACTAATGTACTGTAACAAATTGCAAGAATTATAGGGGGTGCTTGTCTACAGCATCAGCTTTTGGTTCCCTGCCATTTTTGAAATGCTGAATGTGGAAGTATTTATTGTTGGATTATAAAGTGTGTAGCATCTGCATGGTCTTGTGTTTGAGTGAGGTTCTCTCCCATCAAAGAAAGACATGCTGGCAAAGTCTGATGGGATATTTTAAACTGTCCCTTTCACATTAGCTCTCTAACAGACAGGTGAACTGTCCAGTGTTGGAGCACCTTTGTGCTTTCAGCACTCCCATACTTCTGGAATAACCTTTAGATTACTCCAAGAATGAATGGTGTATAAGGGGTTGCTTTTACTGTAAAATTAAGGAATGGTACTCAAGAGCATCTAAGACAACATTTGATTATTTTGGAAATTGAATGTACAGTAAGTACTAAATACCAGTAAGTGAGAAAATACCAGCAGATTATTCTAATGAACCGCCTCCCACGCAATTTCATATGCACTTATCAGTGTTCTAAATACACTAGGAAGTCTTTACTACTCTAACACTGTTTCTTACCATTTCTGCTTTAGTAATTTTACAGGAATTATTCATGCTGATTGCAGCTGTTTTGTTTTCATTCCTCTCAAGAACATCCTACATTTTAGTGTCTTAGCACCGTTATAGAATAGTCTCAGAAAACGGGAGATTTGCACTATGATTTTTTTTTACTCTTCAAACATTTCTGAGCAGCTTTCAATTTTGCAGTGGTCCTTGATTTGTGTTTCTGCAGCAGCATCAATCTACAATCCACAGATCTAGGTGGGGTTTAAAGTGTGACTGCACATTTTTACCCCTTTCCTCTCATTTTGTATTTTCTCACATTAGCAATATTCTCTCAAAGTACATTCAAGATACTGCATGTTTGTATATTTAATGGGCTGAGATTTTAACTGCACTTTCATGACGCAAAATGTTGGACGTTTTCTACTGGGTACTGTGTGTATTAGACCATTGGCTTCCAATCCTAGTCCTAGAGGACTGCATACTTGCTGGTTTCCATTCAAGCTGAGTTTATCTTCCTAAATAAAACCTTAATGGTACTAACAAGTTACTTGATTGCAATATTTGCCTGTTTTTCTACTCGTATGTTTGGAATATAATGCGATATTCACACAGTTCAGCTAAATCCCATTATTTTCGGTTCAGTTGTATAACTGAAAGCGTAGCTAGAACAAATGCCAGCAGGTGTGTTGTCCTCTGGGACCAGGATTTAAAACCTCTTGCCCTAGTGTAGTGGTTCACAATCCTGGTCCTATGTAATCCCAGTGCCTTTGGGATTTGCTCCAGCTGGAGGCTAATTTTGGTTTACTGTGTGAGGCCTTATTTTAAATTTGCTTTCAGATCTTAAAAAGCTGAGGGGAAAATGAAATCAGTATAAGCCCTGTGCTTATTAATGGGTTTTGGGACTGCCCTCATTCAGGTGTGCTGAAATATAACCAACTGGATTTAAGCAGAAAGAAAAAATATCAAACAACCCCCACGCTGATTTAAAGTGTTGTTCCCAACTGTGGCTGTTCATCAATTGCTCAGTTATTAAAGACTGTTGAATCAGAGATTAGGGAGTAAATTCTTAATTAGCAAGTTGAAGAGAGACTTTTTAAGTTGTTACTGGAAACAGTTCACTTTAGAATATTTTTTAAATTAAGGATTGAACACAAGGTGTAAGATAGCAAGCAGAACAGTTAAACATGGAAGTTAAATAAGGTTTACAGAAATTCCCAACAATGCCAAAACCCTAAAAGAACACTACCTTCCCTGCCTGTATGCTTCATTATACAATAAACATGACATCAGAAACACGAGTCAGTCCTATTAACACCTCCTTTTAAATAAAAGTAAAATTATGAATTGTTATTGTGCAGTCCAGTGTGTAAAATTGAATTAGTTGCAATACTTATTTTAAATGATTTCACGCAGCATATAGGTACAAATTGTAAAAGACATGTTAGAGAAACACTTTTTTAAAACCTAACACCAATTCTGTAGTTAAGGTTATCATTTTTAAAAGGAATGGTGATGGTCTGATACTGAGGAACTGAAACTGGTCTGTGGACAAAGATTCTGTACCATACCCACCAACTTGCAAAGTTGGCTTGCAAAGTCTTTTAAATAAGTGATTAGCAGAGCATAGGATGGATTTCAGGTGATGTGAGGAGATATATCTCCAATGTCTTGTCCCATGAGTAAACTTATTCTCAGGCATCTTTACTCATAACATCCTTTACAACTCAAGTCATAAAACAACAGGCTTTGTGTAAGAGGAGAATTTGGCATTTTACTTCTAGTCTAAAGTAATATAATAATAAACTTTATTTTATATTGCACCTTTAGAAAGTATCTTCTTAAAGTGCTTTACAGAAAAATAACGTTAAAGCATACAAAGCTACAGAGATAGGAGATAAGATTAGCACAATGATACACAACGTATTAGAGATGTTCTAAAATGTTCTCATATTATTTTTTATGATGAAACCTTGAATTTTTTCCTCAAGGAAAAGGTGGGTAAAAGATCACCTAGAAGTACAGTATCTGCCAGTAAAGGCACCCGCCCGAGGGCAACATTGACTCGATGAGCTCAATGCCACCAACCCACAGAAACAGAGTTTATAACGAACGTTCCAGAAGGATGACAATAGCCAAGGGCAATCAGACTCAGCTGACAGTAATTTTCAATCATTAATGACATCATTTCCTCACCTAAAACATAAACACTATACATTATCCCCTTCTCTCCTTCACATAGATTGTTTTGCATCCCATCTCCAACTCTGCAGCTGCCCCTTGGGCACCCCTCACTCTGCTTGGGAGTCCCAGACTCCTTGTCCTCTAGCCAGGAGGTTAGCCCTCAGCCAAGCGGGTTAAGCCACATTTTGACTATAACATTCCATAATCCTTTCAGTAAACTTAATTCCTGGGTGTCGTTATTTCTAATGAAATTGTTATAATGACTTTAATAAGGCCTAAAACACCTTGGAAGCCAAGAAATATACTATGCACATGATTTGATAGGTAATTTATTCAAGGACTATTAGTAAAAGTGAAAAATTACAGAATCAATTGAGTCATGAGAAGGAACTTTGAGCATGCTTACAAAAAGTGAAATCATTAGAGTATTGGAATATTAGGATGTGGAGAAAAAGCTTTTCTTGCCTCTTCTTTACATGTTCAAAACTGTGCGAATGCTGGAACACAAAAGAAATGTTAGTTAAGACACTTCAATGACATTCATGGTAAACTGCCACCTCTAGTCCATTTAAAATTACAGTAGATCAATTATTTGTTGACTGGTAATCATTCATTATTTTCTGGTAGTCACTGGCACTGACAGTCATTATATATTAAATATTTTATTTATATCCATCTGTTTTATAACTGCTTCACCCAATTTAGGGTCATGGGGGAGACGGACACTTTCAAGGCAATCAAGGGATTTAAGACAGGATACACCCTGGACAGGATGCCAGTCCATCACAGGGCAGACACACAGATACGAACACACACATACCTAGGACCAGTTTTCCTGGAAGCCAATCAACCTATTTGTATTTTTAGGACCGTGGGAGGAAGCGCATGTGAACATGGGGAGAACATACCGTATAAACTCCATGCAGAGAGCAAGCTAGATGTGGAATTGAACCCAAGGCCTTAGAGCTGCGAAGCAACAATGCTATTCACTGTGCCATTGTACCACCCATTTTATATGTTTTGTTCATTTATTAAACAGATACATTACTAGATGCATTAAACAATCTGAAATAATGCACACTATACTGCACTGTGTTTCTGCAATACTGTAAATGTGCATTTAGTTGTGTGTTTTTAAGCAGTGCTTAATTTCTAAAACCAATTTCAAAACACAAAAAAAAACTAAATCAAAACAACTTCATAAAAGAATGCACAGAATTAAGTTAATATAAAAGCTTTGGTATGATTTTTCAACCTTGGAAAATCGATGACCTACTGCATTACCTAAGCAGTCAAAACAGTGATGCTTGGAAAGGTATTACATTTAAGATAGAAGACACTGAACCGTCTGCTTCATGAATTGAAGGAGCTCCTTCATTTAAGGTATTCACCTATTCACCCATTAGTACAAGAGGGAAGAGGCCAGTTATATTTACCTTTTCCCACTGGTCATGAGGTCAAAGGCTTCATTCACTCTGTCCAAGGGCATATTGTGGCTCACAAACTCGTCCAGCTTCATTCTCTTTGCCATGTAATCCTCCACCAGCTTGGGCACGCTCTCCACACTCTTCCAGCCTGTGGGAAATAGTCAGTCTTGTATTTGTGGCCCTTAGAAAGGTCATGGTATTATGGCTACCCCATGGAAACCTACATACATTTCAGTCTCTATTTGTTTTATTATCTCTTATCATCATTTTTAAGTCTTGTATATTGGAGTGCATTTTCAACGGTTTATGAAATAAAAGGTATTTGTTTCAGGGCAATTATGGCTTTCAAGAATTATGGCAATAAACGTGGCTTTATTTACCAGGAGAGAACTTGAAAAAATTGCATTTTATGGCACACAATAAAAAAGAATTACCTCATAAAACGTCCATTTATCTGTCCATTATCTTCTAATTCAGGGTCAAGGGGCAGCCAGAGCTTATCCTGGCAAGCAAATGCACTTGGGCAAGGTACACTCTAGATAGAAGCCAAGTAACCAATCAATATATTTTTGGACTGTGGGAAGAAACTGGAGGAAAACCCACGCAAACACGGGGGAGAACATACAAACCCCTCACATATAGCATGCAAGGTCCAGAACTGAACCCAGCACCCCAGCAATCCTAACCACTGTTTCACCACACTGCCCTTCATAAAAAGTCAGTAGTGCAAACCACTGTGACACTTCTAGCTGATAGAATTATTTGAGTTATGGCAGTTTTGTTGTATTGTGTTGATTGAATGAACTTATTGTGAAAGATCATGGTGTTGAGTGACTCATAAAGGAGGCACTTTGAAAAACAAGACTAAAAGACAGCTTCTGTGGATAGTTACGTTCTTTTCTTTCACGCTCAACACATTTGGCAGCATAAATAGCCGTTTCTTGTCCATAAAAGCAAGTCGCTCATTCACCCACACTTTGTCCTTTCTTCTTCAGTTTTCCACCAACCACAGGAATAAGCGAAAGCCTGAAAACTAGAGAGGCAGGGGACATCACCAATTCGGATTCTCACCTCCAAAAAATGTCCCCTTCCAAGTGCGCCCAGATATCAGCTGTATCGGCCGAGCAGAAAAGTCATGTTTGTCTGTCCACCCCACAAGGACACTGACCCCCCAGCCTTTTACACAAGACTCAAGGGCACTTCTCTAGAAATCAAGTAAAAATATTTCCATTAAAAAACAAGGACTTTGGGGAGCCACTAACAGCACAAAGACCTTCCTGGGTCACTTGATTTAGAAATGTTTGCAGTATGACGCTTGTGATTGAAATAAGACTGCCCTAGCAGAGAAGTTTCAGCTGAGCTTTTAAGGGACGCAGACTGCTATCAATACTATATTAATGAAGCAAGAACATAGGTCTTAATAATATTAAAGCCATATCCATCTGCGCAATGTATTTGCAATTTATTAAAAAGACACATAAGATGGTGGATTACATACGAGACTTAGGTTCTTATTAAATATGAATTAAATGACAGCAAAACCCAATGGTATAGAACATCAGATGTCCCAGGAAGGAAACAAGCTAAAAATAAGATCAATTTAAAACAAGAAGCAGCACACAAAACAGTAATGTATATTGAGGACAAAGCACCATACATACTACAAGATTACCTAATAGGTCAGATGGCTATTTGATATAATAATAATATTAGATTAAATAAAAACAGCTTTAAGAAACTGAAGGTACTATACAATGATACATAACACACATTATAGATGTAAAATAAAAAATTGACAAAATTGACATAGTTAGCACAAGAGCAAATTAAAGGTTAAAAAGGTTACTGCCAGCAGCCATATCACCCTGCAACTCACAACTGGTAACCCACTGAAGCTAAGCTAAACCTTTGATGCAAAAGTTTAAAGTTCTTTTGCATCAATATCTTAACATCAGTACCCTCAGTAGCAGAATCTGATTTGTCTGCAAGGGAAAGTGTCATCAGTATAGCATCAGCACTGACTGAAACTCAAACTCTTGAAACTCAAGAGGAGTAATCTTGAGCAATAGACAGCATGAAAATACTAAATACTAGAGTCTTAACACCTTGTAGAGTACCCAAGAGTACACCAACAACATCAGATCTAAAGCGTACTGAAGCAACACCTTTTAAAATAGGCTCTTGGGTACCAAACAGGAGATATACTGTACCACCCAAGGAAACTACCAGTGATCAAGAAAAGGAAGTGTAGAAGAAGTAGATTATTAAGTGGTCTGTAGTCAGAGGGCACCAGCAAATCATTACCTTTGACAAAGAGCTATTTCACTACAGTCTCATTGTCTAAACTCCTGTTGAGGAGTTCAAAAAGCTCATCAGATGCAGGACAAAACTATAATTGAAACCTCCTATTAAGACTTTAAACATGGTAGGACAAACATGAAATAGAAAAGTAGTTAAGTTCTTGGTGTTCCAGGCCATTTCTTTGACAGGGTTAGTCATAAATGGATAAAGAGCTTTGACATAGAAATAAGGGTCAATCTGGCAAAATCTACACACATAGCTACATACAAAAGTTTCAAATAACCGAGTAAACAGATGGCAAATGTCATCTCACTTGTGGTCTATTGTTTTTCAATATTCATACCTGCAAAAACTCACCATGACAGAGACGTTCCCAACACACTCGAAGGAGAAGTCCACTCCTCCTTTGGTCATCTCAGCCAGGACCTCCTGGATGGGTTTGCTGTGGTCCTTAGGGTTGACAAACTCAGTGGCGCCGAACACCTTGGCCTTCTCAAACTTGTCCTTGTTGATGTCGACTGCAATGATCCGAGAGGCTCCGGCAGCCTT